AAAGAGGGAGTGAGAAAGAAGAGGGGAGCATGAGGGAGGTGAGAGGATGATGACACGGGGAGAAAGGAAGTACGGAGGTGAAAAGACTGAGAGGATAGGCGAGGAAGACGGTCAGGAGATGTAAGGAAAGAGAGCAAGGAAAAAAGGGGGTGGATGTGGGGGCAGGTGAAGAGGACAGAGGCCGTCCCTGAGGAGAGAATGGCCGCTGGGCAAATTAGTGTAACACCAAAAGCCAGTCTGTTGAAGGGAGCATGTGGGGAATGAGAGAGGAGCAGGATGAAGGGGGAATTGCCTGTGGCACGCATCCCTTTTACAGGGGTCACCACCAGTACACACCAGCAACTCAAATGTATGAACACATATGCAAGCCCTCACACACAATCCTTTCCCACATATATACATAAAACTAATATAAGTGCACCTACATGCAGGCATTGACATTTGGAAATCATCAAATGAACGCAAACATGGCCATGATCGTATTATATGACATCAGTGCTGATTAAATATTTATACCAAAAGACAAGCTTCACAAACATGCATACTGTGTGTGTGTTTTTTGTGTTTGTGTGTGTGCCCATACTGCCTTCATCCCAGTGTCCAGAGAACCACGTCAGGGAATAAAGGACACATGAGGATCAAATTGATTAACACTGGAGTTCTCAGCAGTAATGCTGAGGATTAAGACAGCTAATAAATGTTTCATTCAAAGCCAGAAGTAGATCAAACATGAGAAAGGCCTCCAGCTCGCTCTCCGGGGTTAGCGTTATTCTGCTCTTTCCTCTCCTCCTCCTCCTTCTTCTCCTTCTCCTCCGCCTCCCTCAGCTGTTGGTTTTCAGCTGTATTATGACAGCCACTACAGATCGTCTCACTAGCAACTACAGGCCCTGCCCTTGTGCCTACACATCATTAGCTCTCCATCTGTCAGCTTCCTAACAGGTTCCCACTAATGTGGCCAAGGACTCACTTCATTGCATTCCTATCCAACAGGCAGCAGCAGTCAGCTACGGACTGTGCTCTGTCCTGTTCTCAACTTTAATTATTCTCTCCTTTTCTTCTTCGCATTCCCCTCTGATCCTGCATTCTCTTCCTCACTTCATCCCTCTTCTTTTGCACCCTCTCTGCCCATCCTCTCCCCCTCGCTCTCCACTCCTCATCCACGTTTAACCTTTCTACCCCTCTCCACTCATCCCCCTCTTCATTCCTCTCCTCAGACTTGTTCCCTAAAGTATCTCAGCGAGATTCAGGGTTAGTGCCAATAGTCAACAAGGGATTAGCAAGAATGGAGTTTGGAGAATGTGTGAAAACCAGTTAAGTCACACACTGTGCAGGCCAGAGGCACTCGCTCTCTCTCTCTCTCTCTCTCTCTCTCTCTCTCTCTCTCTCTCTCTCTCTCTCTCACACACACACACACACACACACACACATATACAAATAACCCCCACATGTGCACAAACCAAAGCAACAAGGCACAAGCTGCTTCTGGCATCACATGCTTATCACTTAGCACTGACACATGGTCCAGACCACCACCACTGAGAGGAACAAAGACACAAAATAAATATAAATACTGTATGTGATGCAGCTTAAGTGATATGCAGGCTTAAAATGAAAATAAAATAAAAGAGAGCACAGAAAGATGTAGTGGCTAATGGCAGCGACGGTGACACTGGTCCTGGCAAATGGACTTTGTGGCTGTGTGTGTAACTCTATCTGTGGAGGGGGAATACAGCAGTGGTTGGGTAATGGAAAGGTCATTTAGCCAATCCCCCAGGTAGGGGGGCTGGTCTGACACGGCTCGTTTGTCACAGTTCAATAACTGCCACTCCGGGGAGTGTGAGGGAGAGAGAGAAAAGGAGTGAGAGAAGGGTAGGAAACTTAAGTGTGTGTGTGTGTGTGTGTGTGTGTGTGTGTGTGTGTGTGTGTGTGTGTGTGCGCGCTGAAACCCTGGTGTGTGATAGTGTGTTCAGACCCTGGTAACACAGCTGATTCCCAGAGCTTGTCCTTCCATTAGAGGCCTCAAACAGGGTCACAGCGAAGGCCAAGCACCATGGACTCAGTCATCTCGACTTGAAACTTGCAACGTTGGCATGAGAGAATTATCTTTGCTCTAACTAGTAGATGTCTGGTTTTCCAACTCTGGCTGTAATTTAGGTCTAAAAAATATGGGGAAAACAATAAAATTGCAATTTTTTTTGACCAATATTGCGACAGCGATTCCTTGTGCAATTTTATAAAGTTCTCTCCATAGTATTCACTATACACATCCAATAAATCGTTCTGTAGTATGACCAGCACAACACTGGACACAGTCAACATATAAACTGCTTTTTCATTTAAGCCAGGCCTACATGTTATGATGAAATTAAATGAAATTAATGCATGAACTGATATGAATAGCATATCTTTATTAGCCTCTGAATTTATCTCAAAGCCTTGTAAACATGTAAACATTTAATCATTATTAGTGTATCATAGAATCGCTATTAGTGTAGGCTCTGCATACTACGCTAATAACGTTAGCATGTTACGCTTGTTTGGAAAACGTGTTAAGTACATGGCAGTGGTTTTGTCAGTGAATCTTGTGAATTGTAATGGAACCGAATTTTGTAACGTTACCTTTGTTAAATGTTGCTGTTGTCCCTGGTTTTATATGAGTAGAGGAAGAGTCCGCTAGCTGCTAGGCTAATTTATGCAATGTAAAATGCCATAGGCTGGCGCTAAAACCAATAGCATTAAGTATTCCTGGGGAAATTGTGTCCAGCAAAAGACAACTGCTTTGTCTGTGAATGCTGCAAGTTGTAGTGAAGCCAATTTGTGTACTTGTAATTGAAGTTTATCTCTAAAAGCCATATTTAATGTGTGTTTTGGGTGTGTTTTAAGTCAACTAAACTTTACAGCACTTCACAGAAACCCTGCCACTGACTAGTGTTTTGGAGGTGTAACTGCAGAGTGACACAGACACACCACCGCACAAGTATAAATGCTCACAACCGCGTAGGTCAAGTGCATAGTCTCTGCATAGAATTGACACACAAGTATAAACCGCCCTTAATATAATATAAATCATGACTTATCTCTGTAGAACAGGCTGGGTGTGAACATTAAGGTGAAAAATAAATATGAATCTCACTGATCTCCATTCAGTAACAGTATTGCAACACATCACACAAACTAAAGTGCACACTGACCATGTCTCTGCCAGCCTAAAAATACTAACATAGCTCAAAGCCTTGGTGTTAACATGTTGCAAAACATTTCTGCCTCTGCATCATACTGAAACCAACACGTACATTCACCACCACTCAACAACTTTACCACTAACTTCTCCTCTGCTTTGATCACCAACATCTGTCTGTTCTCAATGCATTCATTATCGTTCTCTCCCTTTCTTGCTTGACCACACACTCGCTACACACACACTTGCACAGGGATAGGCAGCCTGCAGCTCTGGAACCACATGCGGCTCTTTAGGCCCTCTGCATTGGCTCCCTGTGGCTTTGTGTTAAAATAATATGGAAATGAATGATAGTTATTTTTTAACATTCAGATATTCATTTGTCATTGTTGTAGGCCTAAAGTGATTATTGCATTACTGCATATTTTCTGTAAATATTGAGGAAATGTATAAACCATGAAATTGCATGGTGTTGCACCTCTAAGCTACAGCTATTGAAATAATAGTTCTTATTGAGTGCATTAAAAAGTTGTGTACCACAGAAAATTCTGACATATGATACAGGACAGCGATGCAGGTCTTGAAAAAATCATCTGTCCAGTCAGTCAATAATCAAACATATGTCTGGCAGGTGCAGTATATGCAGAACTGCAGCTGGAAGCACTTTATAATTAAAAAAAAAAGCACATAAATGTCAAACAAAAAAGCAAAAGACTAAGCTCCACAATCCTCAGCTGACTGTATTGATTTGTACTGTCCCTTTAACATGTCGTTAGGTGTGTGACAGGATGATCCCCCAGCTTTGTGAGAGAGTCAAAGATTTTCACACATCTCATTGAGCGACTGGTGAGAGACACCACAGTGTGTCCTTCTCCTCACTTTGAAAATCAATAATGAGCTTCTGTGTGCTCATTCACGTGTCTCCATGTCCTCCTGGAGACATGCCCGAGGCACAGATTTGTGTTCATCGCAACTGGATTGAGAGATTTTGGATTTTATGTCGGACCCCCCGTAAAGATTTAAGAACTGACCCTGTGTGATGGGAGGCTTTGATCCCAGTAATACTTATATACTGGGTTTGTTTGATATGTTTTTAGAAAGGGCTGTGTCTCCCCCTTGTGGTCATCACAGGAATGTATGAAACAACGGTTGGATGAAAATGTATGTGACAAAGTTTTTGGAGATATTATGAAAACAGTGAATGAGGCATGATTATTCAGATCATAGACATCAGACATATTTGGATCATGTAAACAATTTTGAGGTGCAGTTAAAGTAAAAGGGTGAATAAAAAAGAAGGTAGAGAAGCAATTGAATAGTACCTAAACACCACATTTGTCATTCATGCACATAGATTTATATCACTGTATATATATATATATATATATATACATATATATATATATATATAAGATAATAATAATGTCATATCTATGATACAATTCCAGGTGCTCGGTAACGCTTCAGCCATCATTCCCAGTATTACTCACAACAGCTGAGACTGAAACCATACTGTACTCCTGTGTGAATTTGTTACTATAAATGAGCAAACCACCAGTTTCTTCACCATTAAACTGCTGGCCTGCAGCGAAGAGATTATATCAAACACACAGACATACAGACATAACACATAATCTAAATACATTTTGGGTTGGACAAACCCTTACACAACCTTTAAACTAGACCTTCAGTCTTATCCACCGAGCGATAGTGAAAGAGATGCCGTCTCACACATGGGCTGAACTGACTGTGGTCAGTGACATCATGGGACAGAAGCTCTTCCTCATTCAAAATGACTCACTGACATTGGGCCACTCACGGTTTTAGACACAGTTTTCTTGGTCAAGTATCCCGCGACCTTCAAGAACTTTATCTAAATTGTTGGTGAGCGATTACCTCTAGAAAGAAGTCCTGTAAGAGGAGTTCATGCTGAGGAAAGCAACTGTGTTCAGCTCAAGGAAGTAACAACCGAGATGACACCTTTGATGTTTAAAGATGCTTTCTGGGTGAGTCTATTTTTGTGGTCTTGTGCTTTGCTGAAGTTGTCCTTGTTGAAAGATCACTGGTTTCTTCACAATTGTACAATAATTGATCCTGAGGGTATATATGTAAAATTGGCATGATAAGTAAACTATAATCTTATTTATTCATTATTATCCAAAGTACCTACCTACAAAACAAAAGAACGCTTACATTGTCATGGCCTGTGACAGAGATTCACGTCACCAGTGTGTACAGATTATATTTTAACTTATACAAGTTATCTGAAGTCCTAAATTAGCCCATATTGAGAGTATAAAGGACTAAAAATATAAAAGTCTTTGCTGAGTTTTTAAGTTCCCACAAATTGTCTCTACTTTGTACTACAAGTAGTCCCTCAGTGTTTAAGTTACTGTAATGTGCTGAACCACTGCTCCCCTCATAAAGAGCATTTTCATGAAGTACTAAGTATGTTAGCGTGTCACATAGAACTATTTTTGCTGTGTGTTAGTTCTGCATTTTCACCACAAAGTGAGTCCAGGAGTAACCCAACGACATGTTGCAAGAGCTGTTGAGAAATGCTGTTCATTGCAGTATTTCTCTAAGCTTTCTTCTTCTCTTTACAGGGGTCTGATTTTACTTGCCACGCCGGTTATGACGCTCTGATCCAAAGGTTACGAGATGGACGGCAAATGTGCAAAGATGTGGAGGAGCTTTTAAAGATGAGGTAGTATCAGCCTGGATTTCAGTTACTGAAACCAAAAGCTGGGGAATTCGGGGAACTTCTTGAAAGCACACGTTCCTTCTTTTTGTGACATTTGTGGAATTAACACCTTGACACAATTGAATATAAAACTATACTAGACATTTTGTTATGATCATGAGACAACAGACATTTAAATTGAACCCCTCAGCTGTGTGACACTTGGATGGTTATATCTAAAAATAAACTTCCTGAAAAACTTTTTACATCTCAAGCAGTAATTTGAACAGCACAGGATCAGTCACACCACTTTGTCCCATGTTCATTTGCATCACACTAGATTAAAAAATCAGCTGTTTTTTGACAAATTCCAAGGTTTAGCATATCAGTGATTTCATGATGTCCAAGAATGACAAGACTTATTTCCATGGGGCACAAATATTCAGCATCACCACCAACACCGATTATCTACATAAGGAGTAAATGATTTAGAACAAAGACCTCGGACAAACAAGAGTCCAAAGAAACACATTCTATCAGCAAGTGTTATGTTATTACTTCCTGATTAATCTATAAATAAAACATAGAACGGTAGGGGGTTTTAGTTGTGAAATCTTAAATGCTAGCCTAAAAACTGCACTTCATGACAAAGATCACAGTCACCAAAGCCTCTGTGGTAACAGAGTGAAGGCTGCAAACGATGGTATCTGCACATCAAGACAAAACGCAATGATGCATAAAGCTCTTCTTTTGTTAACACAGAAACAACACAGTTCAGTTTTAAAACTAAAAACTAATTTTTTTGTCTGCAGCCTGATGCATCTGTTTGTTCATACTGCACAGGGCTCTAGCAGAGGAGAAGTATGGGAAGGAACTGGTGACTATTGCCCGTAAAGCCGAAGGACACACAGAGATCAGGTATATACATCGACTGGCATTCAAAATCGCCATGATGATATTTATGATTATGTATTGTACACACATAATGTGCACTTGCTGTCTGAGTGACATATTGAAAAGAAAGTCACATATTCATTTTGTTGGAAGACAATGTGATGAATTTAATGCTGATGTTAAAACTGACCTGCAACATGTAACATAAATCATCAGCCAGGTGTGTGTGAGCCACATTCTTTTAAAGGAAACATGTTTCTGTCTGTGAAACAGAAAGAGAGAAAAAAAGGCTGAGTGTGCGTGTGTGTGTGTGTGTGTGTGTGTGTGTGTGTTTGAGCGTGCGTGCCACCTACTACAGCGACCCCCTCTCAGTATACAGTAGGTCACTATCTGTTGCCTGTTTCCTGTTCTCTGACATGTCACTCGCCTGCTACAGCGCTGATTACGCTTTATAACAGAAAACATGGCTCGACCACAAGGAAATACTTTTTGTAGATGTTACAACCAAAAAGATTTTATGTGAGATGTTTTACAATAACTAACAAAAAGTGAAAAGTCTTGATGGAGCGTGTCAGGAGTAAAATAATGAGCCACAACTTACCATCCAGACAGGTGACCTTGATGACACTTTGTCCTAACTTCTCTGGCGTAGCTGCGTAGTCATCAGCAGTCAGACACTTAAGTTGTGCTGAGCCTCTTTGTCACTGTGTAATTTTGGAAAGGAATAGGAAGGAACACATTCGTCAAAAAATAAGATGCGGAGCGACAGCCCTGGTTGAATCTAAAAATGCTATGTGATGAATGGTGTTTGTTTTAAGTTTGCCTCTTTGTGCCCTTCAGAGAATGCACTAAATTATGTCTGATCTTAAATGTGTGTATTTTATTCCCAGCACTTTGAGAGCATCCTTTGAACTATTAAAAACACGTAAGTTCATCCAGTCATGGGCAAATCCACCAAACTACTATGCTGCTATTGATCTTATTTGTGAATGAATTGTGGCATTGGTTAATATGGCTGTTTTCTGGCTGCAGAAATCGAGAACATCGGTAACTTTCACATCCAGCTATCTGATATATTGAAAGAGGAGGTGAAAAAGATTGAGACATTCAGAGAACGGCAGAAAGAGCAGAGGAAGAAGGTACTGGGCAATTTGTGTTGCTTAACAACTGGCTTATTTACACAAATACAGAGGTTAGGTTTCGTTGACCTAATGTGAGGTTTGATAGCTTGTGGCATGTGTGCAGATCGCTATCCTGAGGTCACTTAAATTATTTTGCAGGTAATAAGTATTTACAGAGCTAATAAATGGCTTAATAATGCACTAATATTCCTACAGTTATAATAATATTACAGTCATTAGTAAAGATTACACCTACAGGAAGCTGAACAGGATATTTTAGCGTTTCCATTTTATATGAGTTTTTATTTTTCTACAGCATTTTAGGAACTGTGGGTATAATAAGGATATGCAGTAGATGAAGACATTGCATGGAAGCTTAAAATCTTTTAATTCTGACTCCCATGTTTCCTTTTATAGTTTCAAAGCATAATGGAGAAGGTTCAGAAGAAAAAAGTGACTTTGTACAAGAGGGCCGTGGAGGTAGGAGAACAGCTACAGCTGATATAATTTCGAATGGCATACTGTATACAGAACATCAAACATTATACAGGTCTGTCTGTCCTTGATGAACTCTGTGTTTTGTGGTTTGTGTTTCCAGTCTAAGAAAACCTACGAGCTGAGATGCAAGGAGGCAGATGAGGCAGAGCAGGGGGCTGAGAAGACAAATGTCCAAACATCCAAAAACTCAGAAAAGGTACAACTACGAAATGAGCTACCTCACTATGACAGTTATGTCAGACTAGTTTGAGGTTTAAAGGGATTCACATACAAACTTTAGCTTTGCATCTCAAACTGTAAGTTTCCAGTTGACAGCAGGTCAACATTATTGTGTACAGTGATGTAATTATGCAACATCCAGCAAGGAGGAAGTATCTGTGTATGTATATGTGAAGTATGTCCATGTGCGACTGTGACATCTCCTTTAAAGGAACTGTATGCTAAATAGATTTGCACTTTCATAGCACCTCTTGAATCTTCCGACCACTAAAAGTGCTTTACCCCACATGTCACTTTTCAGATGTGCAAATTATGCACTGACAATTGCTTTTGCATTCTGCCTTACTAAATGTTACTTTCTGTCTGTTCAATCAAACCTATTCGCATACACATTTACTCACTGGTGGCTGAAGCTACCATACTAGGTATCGCCTGCTAGTCAGTAACCATTCATACGCACTCACACACAGCCACTAGGAGCAATTTGGGGTACAGTATCTTGGATCCCAAGGATACTACAAATGCAGACTGGAGGAGACCGGGTTCAAATCTTCCAATTAGTGGAGAACCTGCTTTAACTTCAGAGACACAGCTGTCCCACTAACAATCAGAACATTAATATTGTAGCAACCCACTATTTGCTATGTACCAATTAGGGCCGCCCCTGAAAGTCAAACATTCGGATCATCAGTCAGAGACTCCTCAGTCAACAAAGATTCTTCAAGTTCAGGAGTCTTTTTTTGTCACTTAGTGTGCAGTGTACCTCTGAGGATGTTTCGGCCCCCAGATTTAGCTGCAGAGTGAGCAATCCTCTCTTTCACACCGCTCTGTGGTAACAGCAGCTGCAGACCTAGACCCAGAGTGAGTGTGAGTAAGATGAATGCAGCTGCTTGGTCATGCTCTAAGATAAAGTTGTCTGCTGCCTTCTGCTTAGAAGTGGTGACTTTGCAGTTCACAGCAACTTAATAAGATGCAGTCTGTGGCTTTTGTTTTATATCTAGCGTTGCTAAAAAAAATGTTGCAGATTTCCTATCAGTTGTTAGCGTAGTTAGCACTCATTGGCTTGGGAGCTAATTTGGATTGTTTACTATGGTACATGAAACTTGCTGTGACCCCTGAACACTATATGGAAAATAAAACGAATAGCTGAATAGTCATCTTGAACAGCCAGATCTGATTCAGGGTTTATTCTGAATTGGGAACAACCCTAGTAAAGACAAAGTGAAGTAATGGCATCCTGAGCAGAGAATTACTAATTAGTAGTTACTTGCTCTGTTGCTGTGGCAAAGTGCACTGCGTATGTGAGTCCCTGTGAGTGTAACCCACTAGTTAGCTAATCACAGCTGCTCTGCTCTGCACTCATACAGCAGTCACAGCTTATATCAGGACGGTGTCATCATGGAAGCACCCACCCTCCAGTTTTCCCCCAGCTAAACAATGCAAGGTCTGTCAGCACTGTTGCCATTGTTAGCCCTGTTTATGTTGAGCTAGCATCATCATCTGCTAGATGCCGGCTCAGCCACCTCTGTGTTGAGAACCATGTGAGATTCACCTCAGACTCTGAATAATAGATATGCTGTAAAGGTTGCATACAGTTCCTTTAAAGAATATTCAATGTTTCACAAATCCCTGAATCACTGTGATTATTCAGGAAAGGTGCCAAAGTAACCTTTCCAATATGTCTCACATATTTTGACCTTATGATGTGACGATGATGCTTTAATGTGATGTGAAGTCTCCAGTTTGTGATGAGAGTTTGTCACATCGGTCATGCATGTTGCTTCCTGTGTTATATCTGTTTCACAGGTACGCACCAGAGCCAAGCAATGCAGACAGGCAGCCAATGAAGCAGGTATGGCTCAGAATCAGGTTTCATCTCTTTGCTTTTTAAACTGCGTACGTTTGTATTTGAATGGCATTTCTCAATACAGCCACCATTTTGTGTTCATTGCTGTGGTTCATTTCCAACTATAAGCATTTGTGATGATACTGTAATCTCTCACAGAGAAGCTCTACTTTACCAACATCGTTCAGCTAGAAAGTGTTCGCCAGGACTGGGAAGAAACACACAAAAGCACCTGTGAGGTAAAATGGACTATATTTCTATATTACATGCACTGCTGTCATAACCTAGACATAGCAAGGGACTTCTAACCAAACAGACCAGACCTCACAGCACCTTCCCCCTGCTGACCAATGAGGAAATACACTTTAACTTGCATTTCTTAAAATGGAACAACAAACCAACAATCACGCAGTAACATACTTCCTCATACAAGTCAAGTTCTATTATAAGCTTTTTCGAGGTACACTACAATTAGCATGATATTCCTACGTTCAGATGCTATTGCTAGTGTGCGGTAATGCAGCATGATAACATGTAAGGCGCTGGGGGGGGCAAAGGAATTCTCTAAGTCACTGATATGACTGTAGAAATGGTACAGTAGAAACCAGTGGTGTGTACATGTTCCAGGTGTTCCAGCAGCTGGAGGGAGATCGCATCAGCATGCTGAGGTGTGCTCTCTGGGACCACTGCAATCATTTCTCCATGCAGTGTGTCAAAGATGATGAGGTGAGCTCACTTTCTTATGTATACAGTTTTAAATGGATACAATTTCACCTTCTAGATTTAGTTTGGGGTAAGAGTTTCCCTTAAAGGAGCAGTGTGTACGATTTAGGGGGATTTAGTGGCATCTAGTGGTGAGGATTGAACGATGCAACCAGCTAAAACTTCTGGATAGAATTCCCTCAGTGTTCATTGTTTGGGAGGTTTTTACCTGTAGCCAATGACCTGCAGAGGTCTCTCTCTCTCTCCAAACCACACAGCGGGTGACTAAAACTGGTAAAAATACTGAATAAAGTAGTGCCACGTTAAAAATGAGTGTTTCACCTATGCTGTTCTGCATGTAGCGGACTGGCTGCCAGCCCAGCACCTCCTAATGTGTGCTTAACTTACTTCTGATCCAGGCGTTTAGGAGGTTTTTACCATGAATTACCTGCTGAGTTCTCCTTGACAGACCCAGAGATTTAAAGCGGTAAAAACACTAAGTAGAGTAATTTTACACCACAAATCAGTGCTTCTCCAACCCTGTTCCTCATGTCAGACACTGGCTGTTAGCCCAGCACCTACTAATGTGTCCTCACTTTTTTTCTTTGATAACTTCAGATCCAGATATTTATAAGGGTTTTACTGGGAACTGAATTATCCACAGTGGTCTCTTCCTCGCTAAAACAAATGGACCCAGTGATTTAAACTGGTGAAAACCCTGAATAAAGCAGTTTAACATTAAATAATCTGTTTCTTGGCTACTGTAGAAACATGACGGCGCAACATGTCAGAAGACAAGGACCTGCTCCCTATGTTGATAGAAACAGCTCATTCTAAGCTAACGCAAACACAACTATTCATATTTTCAGTTAATTTAACCCTAAAGAAAACCTACTTATTATGTTATATTCCATTTCTGCCAACATATCCTCCTAAATCCTACACGCTGGACCTTTAAATGCTTGGTTTAAATTCAGGCACAGGTTTAAAACTTATATACAAATGCAGTTTGTTAGTGATTTATCATGAGAAACTTGCGATTGCAGTGTTGTGATTTAGTTTAGCCACTATTATAAGAGTTTACATTTTCAGACCTAAAACAACTTCATTGACCATGTAGTGACATGGCTCTAAGGATGTCACTCTCGGTCCACTACTTTGGTCCAGACTAAAATATGACAAAAACCACAGCAACTATTGAATGACTTGCAATTAAGATCTTAATGGTCCCAAAAGGATGTGCAAATAACAAATGTTAGCATGCTAACATGCTAAACTAAGTTGGTGAGGATGGTAAACATTATACCTGCCAAATATCAACATGTTAGCTTTGTCATTCTTTGCATGTTAGCATGTTGGTGTTAGCATGTACATTAGTACAGTCCCGACACTAGCGTGGCTGTGGATATGTTGACTCTTTCTTAAAAGAGTACCTAAGATCACATGTTACCACCCATTTGGCTGATTTTGCAAATGTACCTTTCATACACTGTAAGTTCCTTCCTCATTTATTTTTAGCATGGATAACTGCACTGATGAAATGAAAGTCTCTAACCACAGAAATGTTGATCTGTTGGGTTATGCGGGAACAGTGTACAATCCTGATTTCAAAGGAACTGCCTCTTGTTTTCAGTCTAACGAGGAGGTGAGGAAGCTACTGGAACAGTGTGACATCATCACAGACAACAACTTTTTCATAGGGATGAAAAGCACGGGATCGAGACCTCCAGGTGAGCTGTCATGGATGGTGGGCCAGGCTTTTGACACAATGACAAGGTTTTAGAGGCTTTCCGCTTCAGCAAAGCTACAAACTAAAGGAGAGGAAGAGGAGACAGGTGCCATTTCAAAAGAACTGAATTAGGAGTACTACTCAACTTTTACTCAACTCTTTCAGGGCAGACACAGGCAGAGAGCATCACTTAACCTCACTTCTCAAATAAGCAGCTTCTCATTTCCTCTCACAGAACCCCTAGTGTTTGAGAGCTACTACCAGACGTCCGGAGACAGCAATGGCCAAGCTCATTTCGCAGGAGGAGGAGATATGATGATGAGGTCTGACACAATCCACCTCAGAAGAGGAATCAGGGGGAGACAGCATTGTTATTATAAAACCTGCCAGAATTAAGCGTATAACACATCAATACTGCCAGGCTGTTGTGAAAGTAAATGCTGTCTCCTCCTGGTTCACCTTTCTTCAATACCCATCTCTTATGTGCCCACAACAAAAAAGAATCTACACATCTGAAAGAATCACATGCAGCTGTGATTGAAAGCTATTTGTCTGTTGATCATAACATTTCCACATATATCCTAAATATCTCCCCTGATCTGCATCACCCAGGTGCTCTGACCCCCTTCTCGCCAGCTCTATGAGCATCGGTGTTGACAGTCTTCAAAACTCACAACCAGCACTGACATCTTCTGGCGAGTGTAAGTATTGCATTCACTTGTTAGAGCTCTCCCATACCATGGTAGGGTGGGGGGGTAAAGAACATTTCAGCCTATTTGTGCTCCTGTGCTGGATCTTTATTTTTTTTTTGTGTGAACTGACATATTGGAAATAGTGCTTAAATAATCTTAAAGTTAAGCTTTTACCAACCACAACAATAAACGCGAAATTTAAAAAGAAAGTCTAGATGTGTTGACGTACTATCGTGATACAGTGGTGAATGTTTTTTATACAATTCAAAAAGGCTATATAAATCAGTTATAGGTAGAGTTATAAAGGGTGAATTATGAATGAATGTTTTTTTTTTCGAACATGTGCTAAAAAAACAACAAAGAAAACTAAATTAAAAACATTCAAGAATTAGCTTAAAGTACACAAAATAGAAGATTTTTCTTTCCCTGGTAGTGTTCAACCAATTGTATGTATTGGTCTTTGTTGCATACATTTAACATACAATAAACATATTAAGAACAGATAAAAAAAATAAGGCAAAGCACTGCAACAGTCAAGAACAAAATACAGAATAGAAACATTACAATAAATATATGAAAGAAACACTTAAAAAAAACACTATAACATAACAAATATGTACAATACAGCTGTTTCTGAATGAGAAAGCTGCGCAGGTTTGTGCAGGATGTGTAAAAAATATTAATCAGATGATGTGCAAAATTTCACAGTATAGCAAATATGTTCAATGTATAGAGATGACAGTTTAAAATGCATACAACGATTAGCCAAAACAGTGAAACCACTGACAGTTGAGGTGAATGACATTGATAATCATGTCACAATGCATGTTCTGCTGGGAAACCTTGGGTCCTGGCATTCATGTGGAAGCCACTTGACATGGTCCACCCACTCAAACACCACTGCAAACCAAACAGACCACTTCATGGCAATGGCGCTTCCCAATGGCAGTGCCACCCCAGCCGGACAATGTGCCATGCCACCCTGCAGAAACTGCTCAGGAATGGGCTACGGAACACGACAAAAAGCTCAAGGCGTCAACCTGGCCTCCAAATTCCCCAGATCCCAATCTGATCAAACATCCATGGGACATGCCAATACACCAAAGGTATCCCAGATCCACAGCGGGACCTCCTTGGATTTGACTTGGCTCTGACATGTCAAGGCAAAGACACAGGACCTCTGGTGTGTCCTGTGGTGTTTGGCACCAAGGCGTTGGCAGCGATTTGATTTCCGAGCAGAACATTGCATTGTAACATGATCAACAATGTTATTTATTTCTCCTGCCAGTGGTTTTAATGTTCTGGCTGATCTCTATATAGACAGTTTCTATGGGTGGGGGTCCCAGGCCTTGCTGATGAGGCCCAAGTGCAGTTGGGAGGAAAAAGTTTTTGTGGCATAAGGTTTTGGCCCTAAGCCTCCTGCCGGGTGGAGTGTTACAAAGAGTATGTGTTCAGGGAGGGAGGGGTCAGGCAAAATCACTCTCACCCTGGACAGGAACTATATGCCTGCAAAACACCATACCGTCGATGGGATTCAATATTTTGTTACAATAAATAAATGTGTGACATCACTTAATTGTATATTTTAACTGAATATCAATGCACTATATACAGTGCATTGTAGACATAAAGTTTTATTCCTGAAAGAAGTTTAAATTTCACCTGCTTTATATCTGGCTTCAGTTGAGATTTCAGATGGAGGATACACGCCCCTACCAGGCCTCCAGCATGCAGCATCATCAGCCACTGTTGCAGCTGAGGAAGACAGCTACATTGCACTTTATGCATACGCTGCACAGGTGATTATTATGAAGACATTATTTAGTATTATTTATAATACTAAGACTTAGCTGGACATGAAGTTTGTCAGTAGCAGCATAGCATCACTCTGATTGTACAATATGTTAAAAGATAATGTAGGTATTCAGGTGAAGAGATTTCAGTGATCAAGGCTTGTTAGTGTCTCCCACCCGTAGCTAACGTTTGTCATCTTTGTTCATATTGCCTGATCAGGAAGGTGATGAAATATCTGTCAGCAGAGGGGACATGGTCCGAGTGTTGGAGCAAGGAGAAGATGGCTGGTGGATAGTGGAGAGGAACGGGCTGACTGGACTGGTGCCAGGAAACTATTTGGGCAAAATCTGAACACACATGCACAAACAAGAAAATACAGACAGTATACACAGTCGAATGAAAACGCACTAGGGCTGCAACTATTAGTGATAATCTACCAGTTATTTTCTCGATTAATTATTTTGTTGGAAAACCCTCAGAAAATAATGACAAAAGCCCTGTGTAGTTTCCTAAAGCCCGAGGTGATGTCTTTAAATGGTATGTTTCATCCGACCAACAGTACAAATATCCAAAACTATTTATTTATCATCATGTATGACAAAGATGTGCATCAAATTCTCACATTTAAGAAGCATGAAACCAGCAAACATTTGGCTTTTTGCTTGAAAAAAATGACTAAGACAATTATTCTGTGATAATATTTTGTCAACTGACTAATCGATTAATCAGCTAATCGTTGAAGCTCTACAACACACACACTGTCACACACCAAAACTTGCATGCTTAGACATACATGCAAGTATGCATCATGTGTCTCATGCCTATACAGTTATATCTTCTTATCCAGTTGTAGCTGTATAGGCCAAGATGTGTCCAAACTTGTATTCTTGTAACTTGATTTCTGAGCATGGATTGAAAAACTAGTAACTTTCAGTAGGTAGTAGGTTATTTGAGCAATTTACTGAAGTTAAAAAGTCATCAGACAACCCTTGCTTATTTACACAATAGAGCTTTCTTGAAAGATTTCTGAACTGATCATTATTTATGCATGATTAATTAGTCATAAAAAGATATTATACTGTAACCCTGCTACCTCATGTGTTGTACAGCTGGGATACTCCTTTAACTCTATAATACTGTATAGTGCAGTCTCACTGGACTGAAGAATGATAAACCATCTGGTGTTGAAACTTTGGACGAATATTTGGAACCTTTTGGATGGTTTAAAATTGCCTCCAATGACATTGTTCTGTGAGTATGTTATATTTCCAACGTGAGTCTGATGCAAGCACAAACAAGTTTCAGTTGCTAATAGTAAAACAATTAGTAATGCATTAGTGCAGGCCAGGCCCTACTTTTTTATACAGACAATCTGAGCTGTGACTATCAGATCCCAGACGAGGAGAAAACTGATAAAACTATTTATCTCCAATTAATAAGAAAATGTTTAGTGTACTTCAGCACTTGATGTGATAAATCGTGAGCTACCATTAAATGAAGTCAAGTGCACATGCTCTTAGCAGTGAGTTTTGAGGTGGAAAATGGTGTGGCATGTGGTATCAACTTTGGACAGGTGCATAACCTGTAGTGTGTGATTTCACATTTCCTCACATAGTTCGACACAGGTAATAATCCAGTGGGGTTCATACCTGTTCTCCTCAGTTCCCCATTTGCACTGTCCATTTGAGCAGCTGTTTGCTCTGCCAAGTAATCCAAATTTTACAGCGCTGTCCTGCTTTCATGTTTGGTAATCCTCTAAAAAAGATGCTTGAGATCCTGAAAGCCTCTTACCACCCCCTCTGACCCTCCAAATAACACACTTGGGAAGCAAAAAAGCATCTCCTTTGACTGGCTAGCAGTTCTTTCTGGAGAACCAGTCCACCTTAAATCTTATATTTTTACTAGAGGCCTGGTTTATAACAATATCCTGCAGCTGGTGGGCACAGAGGTGTTTAATGTCAAGTTTTACTTCTAAAGGCAGTCTTTTTGGACATGTGTATTGCTGTTTTTCCCACACAAGGGACACCTAAGATAGCACATTTAAAACACCATTTAAAAATGTAATATTCAGTTGCTGGCTTTACACCGTAGAACAATTACAAATAAAAACATTTCATGTGTTATTTCATGACTTTATACAGACTACTATTAATTTCTAAATTACCCAGTATCTCTAAAACCACACTTTTTTCTGTTGCCAGCAGGTGGGGCTTCAGGTCTGGTTTGGTTTTGTTTCTCAGGTTCTATATGTACCATTTCTTTAATGTTTTTTGGGTGTTTGTGAGCTGGAAAAGGTACAACAGAGGGTTACTGTGTAGAGATAAAAAAAAATGTCTGCTGTCCACAAGGAATTTTCTGTGACCTCAGGGTTGACCATCAGCTATTCTGTACCATAGTAGCAGTTTATATACCAGTAACTGAAAAAGAAAAACTATTGTCACATCTGTCAGACGATACTGTAGTTATATTAATATTCTATTCACAGTTAAAACATACTCAGATTTTTTACCGCCTGAACTATGTAATGATTACCTCTTTATATGTTTTAACTGATAACATGTTCACTCTCATGTAAAACAGTGCAAATAAAATGGCAATCAAACAGGTCCAGTTGAAATGTATGAGTTTATTTGTCCCCTGCCTGTTCTCCAGTCTATACACAATTTTTGTTCGCCATGTTTTTTCTGCGGCACTACAGTAGCTAAATATTTAGGGATCAAATGAACATCTCAAAAATATTAAAACGGTGCACAATTTCACAACAATGTATAAAATAATGTGTCGTAATTCTTTATAGCAGGTTTATAACTAACAAACTAAACAGAGGGAATTCTCTGTAACAAACTGAATCTACACGTACACAGGTCTTCAGGTAACACTGATAATACTCCTACTAATAGCACTGAAGACTAAAAGGTTCATTCACAACTGATATATTGGCAATGTCTCACTATTGAAGTCTGATTCAGAGAACATCCACACCAAAACAGAATGTACATTATTCACAACCTGAATATTTGTGAATATGAAGAAGTCTGTCTACCAAACATGGCTTTGAGAGACCAAACGCAGAGCTGCCCCACAAACAAAAATGTAACGACGGAGATAAAAACACTGAATCTGTTCTGTCTATGGTAAAGCAATCTTCCATTTTCACAAATTCTGGTCAAACCACGTTCTTAGGAATAGTGTACATGTTCTTTTTAGCATAGATTTTCCATTTACAACCATGAAATATCTCCAGAGCTCCAGCCGTAGTGCAAATAGCACACAAGGAAACACATTCCATACAACACTCCCGACCATAAGTTCACACATATGCTCCAAATTACTTCTCATCATGCTCACCGGGGATGAGCCCAATTTTTACCAAGCCACAATAAAAAGAAAAAAAATAATCTGCATCAACATCAATAATGTCAATTAGCCATATACAACTTTGGCTTCTGTAAATATTTCAGTATTTGTAAGAAGAGAAAAAAGAGCATTTAAAGTAATAGTAACTTACAAAGCATGTCAATAAATAACTGGGTTCCCCTTGAAGCCCCCACCCACCCACACCACATCATCAGTGTTCGCTACTTTATCATGAATTGTGCAAGGTGTGCTTGAGCTTATATAACTACAGCTGAAATCTACTGTGGACATGTCCGGTGACGCTCCTTTTGATTTATTAAGTGCTTCGTTGATTGGCTGCGTCCTTCATGCATAGCTGTTGGTTGTGACCAGCAGCTCATACGCCGGGTCGTGACTCCTCCTGCACAGCACCACGCAGGCACAAAGCATGCCCAGCATCTGCAGGTGGACAGCAAGGGAACAAATGAAAAACTGTTATTTGAGCCCTTCAGTGAACTTAGCAGAAAAATTATGCGAGCACAATCAAAAGGCAAGAACTAATAATCAGTTATATTCTAACTCTAATCAAGCATCACAATCTTGTGGACTAATTTATTTTTACCATTATGCTATTATGGGAAATCACACTGTGTGAGCAAATGTTAAACCAAGAAGTGTCATCTTTACACACATAAACACACACACACACACACACACACACACACAGAGCATGTGTTAAAATAAGAATCTTTGAGTTTAATATTAGATGATCGGCCATGCTGTCTTAGTCGCTGCTTTGGGAGCAGGGGTTTCCTGGTCAGCTGCGACCATGCTGAGCTGTTAAACACAATGAAAATCCTTTGACACAATTAGGTCAGAGCTGCTGTCGGATCAGTTTGTGCCAACAGAGATGACTGCAGCTTTAATTTTCCTCCCAGTATACATCCTTTTGGCTTGATCTAAATACAGCCATGGAATAATATGTCTTAAGTGTGTTTTTTTGCAGTGAGGTTGCTGTTTGTTGTGAATGAATTCACCCTATGTCAACTAGTCATTATGACTGTAGTCCTTTTTTAGCTTTAGAGTTATTGTCCCATTTTCCATACAAGATACACTCTTTGATTTGGGTAACAAAAACCCTCGAATCACAGTTTCTTGCTTCAAAAACTATTTTGAGCAACATCTGTAACATCAGTGGTCAGACAGTCAGACAGGTTTATGCACATCTGCAGTTCAGCTGTGTTATTTAAACCATTTATTTGCAAGTAAAAAATGACAACTAATAGTTCTGGTATTAAAGGAACAGCATGGAGGATTTAGTGGCATCTAGTGGTGAGAATTGCAGATTGCAACCAGCTGAAACTTCTCCAATGAGCCAAGCATGAATTCTTAGATAAAACTGCTTCAGTTTTAATTGTTAAGGAGATCTGTCTGGGAGCCAATTATTTGCAGAGGCCTCTTCCTCTCCAAAATAAACAGACCAGGTGATTAAAACCAGTAAAACCACTAAATAAAGTATTTTCACATTACAAATCAGTGTTTTTCTGATGTTTTTCTTCTCTGAGGGCTCCTAACTATGGTGGCCGACACAAAAATACAAATGGCCCCATCTAGAGCCAGTGTTTGGTTTGTCTGCTCTGGGCTACTGTAGAAACATTATGGTGAAACATGGCAGACTCCACTGACGAGGACCCTCTCCATATGTAGATATAAACAGCTCATTCTAAAATAACAAAAACACATCGATTCTTACTCTCAGGTGATTATACACTAAATATACTTATTATGTAATATTCCATTTCTGCCAATATATCCCCCTTAATACTACACACTGGACCTCTAATTTTGATTATGTTCCCTTTATTTAAATTCACTTCCAAATTGGTTGCTTAGATGCTACTGTTAAACTTGGGATTTGTTTAAAACCTGTCCGAGCGCTCAGGTTGTTTGCACTGATGGCCTTCACTAAGAATATTTTTTCTGTTTCCCTGCTGCTGCTGTCACTGTACAGGTGACCCTCCCTGTCCTCCTTACCTGTATAGATGCAAAAGTGAGTGCAGCCCATATGACATACATCATGATCTCCTTTAACTTCTTCACAACAAGAGCTTCACAACCCTGAGACAGACAATAAGTGACATTAATAGAGTTTCACAGGCATTACAACATTAATTTACAATAACGCCAGACAACCTGTTTACACTTTAGATCTGACTGTGCTACAATGAAAAAAAACACATCTTATCTGGTACCTCTTGGTAGAGATCTCCTGGTCGAGTGAGAGTGCCGGTACAGTTAGTGATGCTGGGCTGACAGCAGCTGACTGGGACACTGTTGTTCTTGGATTCTTTAAACCAGCGCGTGTTCCTCCAGTCAGAGTAGTTGTGAATGCCGCAGCAGTGGAGCTAACGGGAGAACAGAGAGGGAATAAGAGTCCTAAGTTAAGACGACAACTTGAAAAATGTTTTACAATCTCAAACATGCATGAATATAAAACAATATACACAATATGTGTTTGCCCAATTCATGTTATTTTATGCGCTGTGAGGTGACCTTGGGTGTTTTGAAAGGCACATTTTCAATTGCATTATCATTATTATAGAAAGACATGTTTTCTAAACTGAGATGACCTGAAATGGCTGTCAAAATAAAACTGTTTGATATAACAGACTTTTCTTCTCACCTGCCTCTGCACATAGTCAATAGCACGGCTGGGGGCGTCAGTGTTGGTGCCGTTGTATTCATTGTACACCTTCTGAATGGAGTGATTCACCTCATCTTCTACCTGAAGCAAAAGCACAGCAGCTGTTACTGTCCCTGTTCGGCAACTGCAATTTTCATATATTATCTCTACGGGACATTTTTTCACAGCATTATAAAACTAATTTACAGTGTAGGCCCTTAGGTAACACTGTTAGCCCGAGGGAGTTCAATTACATAAGAGCTTCTCAGCAAATCAACATTAATGAATCATAGCAAAGGAAGTTTTGAAACAATGACAGGAAGCAAAAGTTGCTAGAATTTCACATTTAAATGCTATGAATTATATTCGTCTTATCTTTTATCTGGAAGAAAAAACATTTAAATGTAAAACTCACATATATTGATATTTGAAAACATCTGATCAAATAAGACAAACTTGGCCCCACTTTCATCTAACTGTACTTGTGAAATGCTCATGTGCTGTGTTTACCTTTGCCCTGTATATGTAGCCAAGCACCACCACCACACATTCTGTTACAAACACCAGCAGGAGAATGGCAGCAAACTGAAACGACAACAAAGACACATTGTTCAGAGGCTCATTAGTAAAGTCAGAAATATAACGATTACTTGACATTGCCAGTAAATGAAATTTTTCACTAAGTCTTGTTGTTTTGTGTCTTCCTTGTGCTCCCTATAGTATGTAACAGAAATGTTGCATGTGTGCTTCCTCTGAATTCAGTCAATTTCAAAGGTGCAAAGTCGTCCACACTCACAGTAGCCAGACCACAGGAGCTTTCACGTATTGTTGCACAGCAGCCAATCAAGCCGATGATGAAAAGAAGAGTCCCGACAGCTATTATTATGATGGCAGGGATCAAAGTGTACACATCTTCAAAGAAGTGGTCGTAGTCGTCGTACGTGATAAACACATAGGCTCCAATGTAGCATAAAATTCCAGCTGCAGCCTGCAGAGAGAAATGGAGACATGAGTCAGAGAGAGAAAAGGGCCCTTTAAAATCTACCTCCTCTTTTTGTCTTTTTTATTCTATATATAAAGACCTGTATGTTTTTGTTCCATGGGTCTCACGTGACTATTAGATTTAATTGTTAAATGACACATGGCTCTTTTTTTTTATTTTTTAATGATTAGCCTAGTTTTTCATCAGCTTTTCTTTCATTATAATCTACTATACCAGGGGCTGGCAACCTTCACTATCAAAAGAGTTATTTTTGACCAATAAAAAGAAGAAGAATCTGTGTGGAGCCGGAAAATTTTGGGCTTTTAATGAAGGTAAAACAGCTTATCAAGTCTAAATTAGCCTATACTAATAGTCTAAATGGGCATTTGGTACTTTAACTTTGCAGAGCTGGCAGTGAAAGCAAACAAATCTGTCCACACACTACGAACATCTCTATGTGATTGCAAGACTTTTACTTTTTGGATTTGGCATCCATAGCTAACCAGCTAGGAAGACTCAGGACTAGCCACTGCTATTGAGGCTTGGCAAAATTTCAAGGAAAACGTGCAAGGCAGTAGTTGTATTATGCACATTTTAGTAGTTGA